GGGCGCCGGGCGCAGCATGGGCGGCCCGCGGGCCTGGGCGCTGCTCTGCCTCGGGCTCCTGCTCCCGGGAGGCGGCGCCGCGTGGAGCGTCGGGGGAGCCGCGTTCTCCGGACGCAGGTAAGGGCTCCCCGACCCTGTGCCCTGCTAGCCCGGGTTGGGGGCCGGGAATCAGGGTACACACGCACACCCACCTCCGTGCAAGTCCGGGTTGGGAAGACGACCCCGTCCCCTACCTCAGTGGACGCGGGGACCTGGGCCACCTCGCTATCTGGCTGGAGCTCCCGGGAGTGTGGGGTCACCTACCCCATGTGTCTGGAGCGGCAGCCTTCCCTGCTTCCTCCCATTCAGCCCCAAAGCCTGAGAGGAGAGGGAAGGCGAGCAGCAAGGGCGAAGCCCCCCAAAACTTCCATCGCCCTGGCCCAAGGGCCCCTCCCTTTGCACATAGGAAAGGCCCAGGACACCCCCAGCCGACCCTTCAGGGATTCCCCCTCCCCCTTTCCCTGCTCCTGGCTTTTTTTAGTACCCTTGCTATTTATTTCCCTCAGAGGAAGGGCTGGGGTGGAGTCACAGCCCAGTGGGTCAGTGTGGTGGCTCCCCAGGGACCTGGCATTTTGGACAGAGACAGGAGGAAGCATTCTGTCTTGCTGCTGGGGTCCTAGTAGCTGGGAACAGTCTCTCTGCTGGTCTCTATGGAGTATCTCCCAATGCCTGGCACTGTGGGGTCCTTTATATACAGTGTCATCAGTACTCCTTCAAGGACTGAATGAGTTAGGAAAAATTGTCCCCATTCAACAGATGAACAAACTGAGGTCCAGAGAATTGACATAACCTTCTAGGCTCCTGGGCTATTAATTGAAGAGCTGGGGTTCAAAACTGTTTTTCTGGCCTTGATAATAGCGTTTGAATCTGCCCTAGCCCCTGTCCTGGCTACAGTTCCCACCCTTGCTGGGGTTGCCTCTCAAAGGCCAGCTGCCGTTGTTCAAGGCAGACAATGTGGACTAGCCAGGCCTCTTCAGTCCTTTTCAACTCATTCAAAGGCCCGCCCAACCCCCACCCCTTACCACCTCAATTCTTTAATTCTTTTCAGAAATTCCCCTTTCCCAGTGGTCAGGGGCCAGCATGTCCCTGCTAGGCTAGCAAGAGCAGGTGACATGGGCAGGGTTGGAGGATGGAGGTGGCCAAGGCCTCAGAGGCCAGAAAAGCAGTCGTCTGAGACAAGGACAGACGTGTGGCAGATGTCACAGCCACCACCTACTGCATGCTGACCACGCTGGCGTGGGTTGGACACTTTACTTGTATTCATCACTTCTAGAATCTTCCTAACTGCCATTGGAGGCATGCTTTTCATAATCCCCATTTCATAGAGGTGGAAGCTGAGGCTCAGAGAGAGCTATGACCTGCCCAGAACGTGAGTGCAAGCCCCCAGGATCCCAGATGCTAAAGAGACCAGTGTCAGGCTCAGGATGATGCTGGAGAGGGCTTTAGGCCTGAACTTCCCTCCAGCCTGTCCAGGTTAGGGACTCTCAGCCTGGACTCCTCAACCCCTAGGGTTTCCTGGGTAGGAGCAGGACGATGTCTGTGAGCAGATGTCTGGTGGCCACTGGGGACTGTCTCCCCTTCTGTTCACAGAAGGCTGTCACAGTAGCCTGAGTGTCACAAAAGCCCTCTGGGCTTTTGCTCCCATTTTACAGATTAGGAGACTGAGGCCTAGAGAGGAAAAGTGGCAACTTAATCTAGACCAGTCATTGTCTAAGTCCAGTGTCTTTTTCTCTCCAGCAGACATTCTGGAGGACAGAGAGAGGCTGTGAGAGGGGGTGCTAGGAAAGATTTGTAGGTCATGGTTAGGAGTTAGAGGCCCTGGCCTCCAACAAAACAGGATTTTACTCCTGGCTTTGTCACCCACTCCATGTGTGACCTCAGGCAGGTCACTTCATGGCCATAGGTCTCAGTTTCCTCTTTGTTTCCCTTTTTCCTTCCCTCATTCCCTGCTTGAGGGTCTGTTTTGAGAGGCGACAGTCGCAAGGTCTCATGTGCAGTGGTTCCTATTGCCAGCGTTAAATGGGGGTAGGGACCTGGAGCCAGAGGAGCCTGTGATCCTTGGCTTCCAGGACCTCTCCTTGTGGCCCTGTCCCAGCGTTGTTGGAGACAGCATGGGGATGTTGTGCCCCATCAGCCCTCCCTCCACCCCAGCCCTGCACCCCAGGCACCCCTTGGCAGCCGAGGGACCAGAGGCAGAAAAGAGGCTTTGTGCCTGGGGAGGGGGAGGCCCGGGAAGGCATCCAAGGGACCGCCCCCAGCCCCAGGAATTCGGTAAGACGTTGAGACCCCCAGAACCAGGGTGCCCAAGGGGCTATGAAGAGCCGCCTTGGTTTGCGCTCGCCCTTGCCAATCCCCCAGTTCCAGCTGGGGCTGCTTTCTGCCCCTGCAAGGTCGCTCCCAGCCTGAACCCCCAGTCCCTTTAATGACTCATCTCAGCACTGCGGCTCTAGAGTTCAAGCTGTCACCAGCGTCCTGGCCCAGGCCTCTAGCCGCTGCAGCACCGTCTTCCTTTGGGCAAATCCTGGGATCAGAGAGAGTGCAGAGCTCTAGAATGGATGTCATCTTCCCCAGCCCCTCTCCAGGGGGCTTCAATCCCAGCTCTATGCCACATGGGTAACCTGCAGGTGCCTTCTTTTAGAACCCGCTTGTAAAATGCAGATTCTGACAATCAATCCCTATCCTGAAGTCAAAGGGAGGACCTGTGAAGAGGACCTTCCCTTCCCCAAGCCCCAGGGAAGCCCCTGGACCACAGCTGCCAGGTGTGGGGCCCATGTCTGGGCTATGGCCCCACCATCCAGGAACAGGAATTAACAATAGCTATTAGCTCTGTGCTAAGCACTTTGCGTGAACCCTCCCCTGCCAAGGAGATTCTGCTGTCCCCAGACAAAGTGAGGACCAGAGAGGCTTGTCCAAGGTCACCGATTTAGGAAGCAGCAGAGCCAGAACTGGAGCTTCGCCACCCCCCCACCCCGTGTGGCTGCTGTCACCCCACCCCCACCGCCCTGCCCCTTTCATTCCTCTCCTTTTCATAACGGCCCTTGGCCCCAGGCCCGCTTGGCTGCCTCCCGCAATTAGCCCGTATCACTGTTCCGGATCGCAGCCCTGGGCCCTGTGCAGACAAAGTCCCCTGGGCCCCTCGTGGCATGGGGTGGAGGGCCGGAGGGGGGGCCTACTGGGGGTGGCTGGTGCCAGGCTGAGCTGGTCTGGCCTGTTTCTCCCCTCCTGGTGGCCTCTGGGGTCCAGGAGGAGCTGAATGGGCAGAAGTGGCAGGCCCAGGAAGGGAGTGCTGCCTCCTCCCAGCCCCAGCCCCCACCCCGCCCACCGCCCAGCCTCACCTGGCTCTTGGGCAGCTTGTCACGGACCACACCCCAGGGAAGGATGCCCTATGGGGCAGCAGGGTAGAGGCAGGGCATCCAGGTACTTTGCCCATCTCTGGGAACCTCAGGTCCTGAGACCTCTGCCCAGGGCCATTGTCTGTTCTTGGTCATTTAGTCATTCATCAAACACTGTTGAGCGTCCTCGGGCTGAGCCCTATGTTGGCTTGCTTTCTGTCCATGCCCTTACCCCAGAACCTGTGGGAGAGAGTAAAGCTCAGGTCTACTGTGAGTGGCTGAGGGGGGACCCTAAAGATGGCCAGTCCTGCCTGGCCTTGGGTCTGAGACCCAAAGGATGTATAGGAATTTTCCGGAGCAGGGAGGGAGGGGGCTTTCCAGGCAGAGGGATCCTCCTAGGCAAAGATGAGAGGTGAGAGAGGGAGCAGCATGAGTGTGGGAGAGGTGAAGGATGAAGGATGGGGCGGGCAGGGTTGCAAAGCAGTAGGGAGCCATGGTGGGCTGCGGATTTCCCAGCAGGCGGTGGCAGCGTTAGGTCTGTGCTTTAGAGAAGGCCTCTTGCTGCCCCTGGAAAGTGGACAGAGGGGCGGGAGGGTAGCAGGCCCAGGCTGGGACCCTGTGGAGGAGCTTGGGCTTATACTGGGAACAGCAGGGCTGGGTCCTCAAGGTGGGGGATGGAAAATTTTGTTTTCTCTAGCTTCCCTCTGGTGAAAAGAAGGGCGGCTCAGGCAATTGTGGACAGTCACAGGCTTACCTCTCCCAGCCCAGTCCAGGGGCTGGGTAGGCAGGTGCGCATGCACGTATGTGAGGGCGCAGGGCCCTGTGTGTGCTTGTGTGGACATAAGCGAGAGGAAGGTCGTTAGTGGTTATGTGCTCCCCTGGGCCTGCCTCCACCTGTTTGTGTATATGTGAGAGGTGTGTGTGTGTGTGCGTGTGCATGCATGTACATGGGTGAAGACACATGCCCTTTGTGTGCCTGTGCGGATACTTGCAGAGATCACAACCTCAGCCTGTCTGTGTCCACGTGAGAGGGCCAGTAGGTGCATGTATGTGCTGGTATGTGTGTGTGCGTGCGCATGTGTGAGGGCACACAGCCCTATGTCTGTACATGTCGACTTGTACATGTACAAGGAGGACAGTTATTTCTGTGACTGAGTGTCCTGCTGGATTTGCCTCGGCCTGTCTGTGTGCATGAGTGTGTGTGTGTCTGTGTGCTTGTGTAGCTCTGTGCATGTGCACATGGGCACATGTGTGTCCATGCACTGTATGCGCATATGCGTATATGTGTCCATGTGCTTGCGTATGTGGGCGTGCCCATGTGCACGTGCTCACTGCTGTGCCTGTGCATACAAGTTTGCCCCTGTACGCCGGGGCGTGTGTTTGTGTGTGTGTGTTGTGTGTGCATGTTTGTGTGTATCTGCATGCTGGCATGGAGTATTCATTCCGTGCCCAGATTACTCCCTCCATACTCCTTTTCTTCATTCCTGAGCTCCTGGGCCAGGCTGGGGAATGTCACATAGGCTGCAGGGAGATTCTGAGCTCCCCCCACCCCCGAATGTGTACACCAAGTTTTATACATTTTTCTGGGGAGGAGCCCCCATTCACATCAATTTCTCAAAAGGGCTTATGTCCCCATCCTCCAAACAAAACCCCAGCAGATTCAAAACCACAGCTCTAGGGACCTGAGGCTTTATAAGACAGGGAGCCTTTTTGAAATGTGTCTTTTAAACATTTAAAATCGTCACCTACTCATTAGGAGAAACATTTCCAGCCTGTGGTTAAGAGGACAAGCTATGAGATGAGCTGTGACTGTGCCATGCCACCCATCATGGGTGTCTGGGGCACATCCTGAACCCCAGAGCCTCAGTCTTCCCATCTGTAAAGTGGTGCTCATGATAGGGTTTGAGATTTAAACAAGCTAATACGTGGAAGGCCCAGGGCACAGCTCCTGGGGTGCAGCAAGCGTGGTAAACAGAGGCTGCTTTAGTGTGGGAGATGGAGCAACTGGAAAGCTCTCTGCCCGCAGGGATGGCAATTTGATGAGAGAGTATAATTTTCCCTAACTTTATGCACACACACTTACATATGTGCCTACATGTATAAATAGTTGTTTGACTTTCCCTTCTTTCCTTCCTCCCTTCCTTTCTAGAATTGTCCTGTGCTTGCCTTTTCCCTCTTAACCAGGTGTGATAGCTGCTTCTCAGCACGTGGAGACTTTGGGTTCTGTCTCAGTGCCTAATTTTCTATGTCTGGTGGTCCAATAGCCATTTAGGCTATTCCCAATTTTGTGCCATTCCCGACAGTGTCACAGCAAGTGCCTGTCACATCTGCCGTAGGATGGCTGGCCAAGGGCTCTGTCAAGCTCCTGCTGCTGCTTCATGGTCCAAACTGAATTGTCCCTTCTCCCACCTCCAGGCCTTTGCCTAGGCTGTTTCCTCCTCCTGGACTGATTGTCGTATGACACAGGAAGATGAAGGGACTTCTCTAGGGTCCCACAGACAAATTTGACCAAGTTCTGGTCCCGGCCAAGGACTTTCTCCTTCCCGGTGGGCCAGGGTGGAGGTGGGGTGGCAGCTGGGGGGACTGGATTGCAGTGGACCCAATCACCTCTGTGATAGCCGGGACATTCCAGGTGCTCAGCGGCCCTCAGCCCTGCATGGGGTTATGTGTCCTGTGTGTTTTGCAGGGGCTGCGGAAGGAGGGATGGTTTCAGGTGACCCTTCTCAGCCTGAGTCCCCCACCCCAGCAGAGTTTCCTTCATGGTCTCGAGCTCAGGGTCAGCAGGTTCCCAGGCTGGGGCCTTCACAGAGCCATAGACCATGGCTCGAGTAGACGGGAAGGAGACAGGAGCTGTGGCCTTTGGGATGGAGTCAGAGGCCAGGCCGGGCCAGCCACATTCCTGGGTTCAACTCCGGCTCCTCCACACACCAGCTCTGTGATGTGAGCAGTTGTCTTTACTTCCCTGAGCCTCAATTTCCCCTCTGTAAAATTGGAGGGGGCCTTCCTGGGGAGGATGTGTAAATACCCTTAGTATACAGTGAGTGATTAATATGTGCAGCGCAACATGATTATTAGTTGGCTTTTGGAGAAGTCAGTCCTGCATGCTTTCGACATTGATTACACATCCTGGCTATCACACAGAGCGGACATGAGGGTAATTTAGACAGGGCCTCTCCTCTCACATGCTGGTGGAGAGGGACAGGCATGAGTCACCAACTTAATCCAGTGTGACAGGTGTACAAAGTGCTGTGGGATCCAGGGCAGGAAACCATCTGATCTGCTCAGGTGGGGATGGCGGAGAGAAGAGGTGACAGCACAGCGGGGCTTTGAAGGCAGGAGGCACCAAGTGGAGGAGAGGAGAAAGGATGCTCCAGGCAGCGGCCCTACAGGAGCAAAGGCCCGGAGGTGAGGGCTCTGCAGCAGGTGTGGGCACTGGAGATCTGGGGGCTGTGGCATAGGGGTGAGCAAGGGAGGGCCATGGCCAGGTTTCCATTTTGTGACACTCCCTCTGGACAGGGACTGAGGAGCAGACAGAGAGGCTGCTGCTGTGTCCACATGGGAGGCAGTGAGCCATGGTGGCCTGGATGGGCCAAAGTTGGAGAGAAGAGATGTTGAGAAGGGAGAACACCAGTGAAAATGCCCTGCCCCATTGTGCCCCTACAGCTCATTCTCTAAGATCTCCTGAGAGCCCCTAGCACGGCCACCCCCCTCCAGGCCATGGAATTCACCCCTCAGCCACAGGCAGCACAGAGACTCCTACTGGGGTCCAAAGAACTCAGAGCTCAGGGATCTCTCCCTGGAGACTCAGGGCTCCTGGAGAGAACACGGACCCCCTCGCCTGTCCTCCCAGAGTCCTGGGCAGGGGGCTGCGCATGGCACCTGAGCTTTCTCTCTTGGGGTCTGTTTCAGGAACTGGTGCTCATATGTGGTGACTCGCACTATCTCATGCCATGTGCAAAATGGCACCTATCTTCAGCGAGTGCTGCAGAACTGCCCCTGGCCCATGAGCTGCCCGGGGAGCAGGTGAGTGAGGTGGTGGGCAGCAGGAGCTGATGGCATTGCAGGTGGAGGCACGATGTGGGCAGAGGCCTGGTGGTGGGATTGCAGACGGACGCCAGAGGCGGGCGGAGCAAAGGCAGCATTGACCCTGTGCCCATTCTCAGCCCCTCCCCATGTGCTCTTGGGCCCCCTGGAGGGCTTCCTGGGGGAGGGACCCTCCTTTCACCCGCATGCCTTCACTCAGCGAGTATCCACTGCTTATCCACTGCCGAGGACAGCCTGGCTCAGCCTGTAGGGGCTTCCTGTCCAGTTGTTATTCAATCCCAGCATTTGGGGGGTGTGGTGGAGGGGTTGAATCCCAGAATGCAGGAGAGAGATGCTGCGTTTGTCCCCATGGGCGTCCAGGGCAGTGAGAGGGGCGCTGGAGGACCCTGTCTAAGCTGGATACTCTTTCAGCTACAGAACCGTGGTGAGACCCACGTACAAGGTGATGTACAAGACAGTGACTGCCCGCGAGTGGAGGTGCTGCCCTGGGCACGCGGGGGTGAGCTGCGAGGAAGGTAGGACTGCCTGGCTAGCTCCCGGAGCCTCCCGCGGGTACACGTGGGCGGTAACCTGTGGCTAAGTCTGTAGACGCTGCACACCCACAGCACCGTGCTCACTGGACCCACTGCACGGAGCGTGGGCGAGGACAGCTCAGACACAGTTGGTGCCTACTGTCTCCCCACCCCACCTTGTGGCGACTGCTTGCCACCTGGGAGACCCTCAGGACCCCTGGAAGAATTTCATACATGTAGCTCATGTTTTATGTCACATCGTCCTAAGTCTTCCCTCCAAACTTGGGGAAAACCCACAGATGTTTCCATGGGATCCATAGATGTTTCCATGGGATGTGTTAATAGACACGGCGTGGAAGCTAAGAGTCTCTGTAGTCAGTTGGGTGGGTCAGAGAGGTAAAAATGGCTATACCCACCCTGCAGGTGAGAAATAGGCTCAGGAAGGTGATGGGCGCACAGCTCCTAAGTGACAGAGTCAGGATTCAAACGCTGTCTGCCTGCCACTCGCCACCCCCTGCCTCAAGTCCTTAGGGATGGGAGGACTAAGGTGGGCACCCTGTGTGTGGGGCATGTCCCTTCGCACCCCATCTACCTTCTCTGTGTGCAGCTCAGGGTGACTCGGGGCCCAGCATCCTGCAAGGCACCCAGCGTGGCAGTCCGGGCCTCCGCAGAGCCTGGCCACACTCTGACCCGGGGAGCCCTCTCTCGAGGATACCTGCCTCTGCTGAGGGGTCTGGGCCCCTCCCACCCTCGCTTCCTGGTGAACCCAATGAGTGGCAGATTTTCGGGCACTAAGAGCTGTGTTCCCAAGAATGGCCCTAAAGAGGACGGACTGGCCTAGAAGCAGCCTGAGAGCCAGGCCCACAGGCTCCTCAGTGGGAAGAGGCATTCAGGGTCCTTCACATTCAGGAAGGTGAACATTAGTTGCAGGATGTATCCTGATGCCAGAAGCACGAACATGTAGAAATGCGGCCACATGAATCAAGGGAACGTGGCCCCCACTCATAGGTGCTTCCTGAGAAATTTACACACTTCACCTCTCTGGGACCCCACAACAGCCCAGTTCACAGATGGGGTGACTGAGGCCGAGAGAGGTGGAGTTGAGTGCCCAGAGTCACACAGGGATGGGCGTGGGTGGCAGAATCCACCATGATGTGAGGAAGAGAGGGGGCCTGGCGGGTTCTGACATGGGGTGGGAGAGCACAGTGGAGCTGGTGGGGATTGGGGTGGCCAGAGGGAAAAGGGGAGCTGGCCCATGCTGAACACCCCTGCAGAGAGGCAGCCACGTGGCCGGTGTGGGAGGCTGGGTGCAGGCAGACATCTGAAGGCAAGTCAGGAACAGCGCCCTCTCCTCGCTGGTGGGAGGAAGAGGGGAAGGTGGAAGGGCCTGAAGAGCAGAAGAGCCAGCCAGGAGGGGCGGCTGCCAAGGAGGCACAGAGGAGCTGATGGTGGGAGGTGGCACATCCCAGGGTGTGGGGCCGCCTAGGCCCAGAAGACCTGAGCCCAGGCAGGGCCTTCCCAGACAAAGGCCATTCTGTTCCTGGCTCACCTCCCAAGGGCACCCTTCCCTGTCTCTGGGGCCTTCCTGGAGCAGGTTAGGACAGAGGACAAGTGGGGGCAGCTCACATGCCCTTGAATCTGGCTACTGGAACCAGCCTAAGGGCTGGAGACTGTGCCGATGGTGAGGCAGGGGCACAAGACAGGTGTGGGGGCCAGGCCAACCCTGCGGTCTGCCACCTCCTGGTGTGGGGCCTTCAGATCCCAGCCTGGGGACAGGAGTATCCAAGGCTTCATAGGTCAGGCCAGCTCTGCCACACTCCAACTGTGTGGCCTTGGGCCAGCCCGTGGCTCACTCGGGAGAGTGCGGTGCTGATAACACCAAGGCCCTGGGTTCGGATCCCATATAGGGATGGCCGGTTCGCTCACTGGCTGAGTGTGGCGCTGACAACACCAAGTCAAGGGTTAAGATCCCCTTACCAGTCATCTTTTTATAAAAAAAAAAAAAAAAAAAAAGACAACTGTGTGGTCTTGGACTGGGGCCTCCCTGAGCATTATGCAAGTAACTGTGCAAGGGCACCAGGCTGGGGGTTCCACAATCCAGGTGGCATTTTTCTTGTGCCTACTCAGAGGGAGGGGTGCCTTTGCTAAAGGGCGCCAAGCTGCTGTGTGCACTTGCAGCAACCTAGGGCTCCCCCACACTAAGCCTCAGCGTCCTCACCTGTGAAATGGGCAGGATGATAGAATCTGCCTCCCAGAGATGTGGCCAGGATGAGATGAGGTAGTAAAGACCCCACAGGTGGTATGGCAGCCCATGATGGGTACTACGTGATGTCTATGGGATGGGAAGGGCCTCTCCCCAGCCAAGGGGTGTGGGACCGCCTGGGGAAAGGGAGGTGGGCAAGGGGATGCCCAAATCCGAATTTCCGGAAAACTGCTCTACTAGGTCCCTGGGAATGGGGGACATGGAGGTGTGGGGACATTGCTGGCCCATCCCAGGCCCTGCTCTTCCTTCCACAAGTGGTTTCAGGCCGGCTGCTTTCACTGCTGGTGACTGCCCATGATGCCTGTCCAGTGCTGTGACCTGATCTTGGGGCCATAGAGCTGCATCACCAGGGGTGTCAGGGCCCAGAGTAGCCTCGAGTGAGCTGAAGAAAGAGAGGGAATACCCATCATTTCAGAATCCAGCCTTGGATCAGTTGCACTCTGCTGTGTGACTTGGGGCAAGTCACTTCATCTCTCTGAGCCTTGGCTTTATCTGGAAGTCACCTGGGATTGAGAAGTGGGCACTTATGCCTGGCACATAGTTGATACTGGATAAATGTCTTCCTCTCCCCTTCTGTCCCCTGTGCTGTGTAATCTGTGGTGACCCTGCAGACACAGCTCTGCCTCTCACCTCTGAGATCCCACTTCTCAGCTAGTTGCTCAACAGACAGGCCTGGAGTCTCCAGACTTGATGTTTATGAGACCGGAGGGCTCCAGTGAAGGACTTCACCACTCTTAGCCCTGGTTTTCTCATCTGCAGAATGGGACATTCACTCTGTGACAATGAATGAGGAAGATCTCATTTGATTTTCATGACGAACTCTAAGGAAAGGGCTAGAATAGGCCCCATTTTACAGATGGGGAAACTGAGGCTCAGAGAGGTGAAGGGGCTGGCCTGGGGTCACTCAGCATGTGAGAACCAGGATTGGGACATGCCTGACCAAGTTTCCAGCCTCCTGGCCTTGGGAGGTGGGGCTGGATGGCAGGTAGAGAGCTGCCTGAGGCTCTCACCTGGCCCCAGCTCACTCATCAGAAACAATGGGGCTAGTAAGGAACAATGGGCGAGGAGGAGCCAAGGCCAGAATGCAGCACGTGGGCCGGGAGGGGGCGGGGAGAGGGCAGGCGCAATGCCAGAGCCATGTCAGGAGGGACGGGCAGAACCCAACAATCACCTTCTCTGGGCTAGGGCCTCACTCCCTGAGTTCCCTAAGCTGGTGACCGCCCCCATGTCACCCTGCCTCTGGAGGCTCCCTGCAAACAGATCTCTCAGCCATCAGCCCCATTGTCCAGGTGATGAAAGTGAGGCTCAGAGAGGGTGTGGGTCTCACACAAAGTCACACAGCAAGTAAGCATTGTGGCCAGGTTTCTCCCCAGGGCTGTGACCCTCCCCTGCACCAGACCCTCTTGCAGTAATAATGACAAGGGGAAGGAAAGCTGCCACCGTCCTCTGTGCTGGGCACTGCATTGTATACCCACCTGCATTGTGCCATCATGTCATGGTTTGGAAGGTCCAGATGCAGAAATTGAGGCTTAGAGAGGGGAATGCCTTGCTCAGGGTAACAGCCTTAAGAGCCATGGAGCTGGATGCAGACCCTGTTGGTCTGATTCTGGAGCCAGGGTTCTTTCCCCCACAGCAGCACTGGCTGAGGACTTCCTGGGGAACGTGTTCACACGGTGGGAGTGCCACCTGTGAGGCTGGTGGCAGCCAGGCTCAGCCCCAGTGCTTCCAGGTAGACAGATGGAGAGGCCAGGCTCCCTGTCCCTCCTCTCCCCTTCTGCCCCCCGGAGCCGGCTGCCTCTGCTTCCCCATCATCGGTCCCCTTGTCCTCAGCATACACGTCCCTTCCCCATCCGTGGACCCTCACAGCCCTTGTCTTCCATGGTGGGGAACTTTGCCCAAGGCCACACAATAAAAAAGCCTAAGAACAGACCTGAGGTTCCAGCAGGGCCCTTCCCAGGGTCCTCAGCCTCCCCTACCTACCAGGGCTGGGCACTTCCCACTCACATCTCTTGCGCTCTAACCTGGTGCCAGGTACAGTGGCAAGCCTGTGCTTCACTTTGCAGCCTCCGAGTCCCAAGGGCTAAACCCTGCATGAATCCGCCCGCATCTACCACCTGTCCACTCCCATCCTGTCTGGGAGGCCTAGCAGCCCCCACCTCCCTGCCAGCCCATCCTGCACACCCAGACGGGGGGCTGCCCTCTCCACTCTCCCAGCACCTGCTTGTGGGATCAAGGCCCAGCATCGCACCCCAGCCTCGCCCTCCCACCATTTTACCCCCTGGCTACACCAGCCTTCTTATCCATCCACGTCCACAGCCTTGGAAGTGGCTGTCCCCTCTGCCTATGACCTTCTTGGTGATCCCCCAGCTGAGTCAGCCCCCATCCTGCCATCATTACTCCAGTACCTCCAGTGCCTGGCATGGACCTGGTGTAAAGTGGGTGCACAGGAATTGAATGGTAACTTTGCTTATCCTGAAGAGGGACCCAGGATGGACACAGACCAAACTTTCCCAGAGACCTCCTGGTAAGGCTGGAGGGTTCTAGGAGCTCCCAGCTGCAGCTCTGACCCTAACCCCTGGCTCTGGCCACCAGCAGCAAATATTTACATTTGCAGAGTAAACTCCCCCCAGAAGACCTGGGCTGGGGTGGGGGAGGCTGCGTCCCTGTGGAATGTGGTCACTGAACCCAGCAGAGCTGGGGGGTCAGTAGTGAATGAGGAAGCCCCTCCCTTGGCTCCTCTCCTGAGAGAGAAAGTCATGGAGGTGTAGCCCAGGGACACCCCCCAATCCCAATTTAGGGCAGGCTTGGAATCCTGGCCCCCCTTGTCCTGCTGCACAGATAGGGCAGGCAGCCGTTCCTCTCTGGGCCTCAGTGTTCTCATCTGTGCTGTGGGGTGTCACAAGGATCCCACGAGAAGGGGCACAGACCAGCACTGGGCAGAGAAGGGGAGCTGCTCATGGGGCACAGGGCTAGAAACTGCAGGTAGCACTGGCCTTACAGAGGTCAAGATAGGGAGTGACGAGGGCTTCAAGGGAGCCTTTGGTTCTGGTGGGTAACCTGGTGAGTACCGTGATACTGGAAGGCTTCCTGGAGGAGGTGACATGGGAGCTATAGCTGTAGTGATTGGGGGAGGCTGTGTGTGTGTGTGTGTGTGTGTGTGTGTGTGTGTGTGTGTGTGTGTGTTGGGAGTGGAGCTGGGGTTTACAGTCCTGGGACCAGTTCCTCCCCTCCTGGGAGGGCCAGGATGGGGCTGGGGAGGAGCCCTTCAGGAAGAACCACCAGGCCAAGGTGAGGGGTCCTCTCAGCCCACTGGGGCCTGCTTCAGGGACCCTGGCCAAACACCAGTGAGAGGGACGTGACATTTTTGTCCAACAGGAGACCTTTACCCACCCCATGGCTTCTTCCTTGCTGGAATTTTGTGAGCTATAGGGTTGTTTTACAACCTGGTCCATCCCTGAAAGTATTTCTGTTCATTTATCAGAATTTGGGAGAGTTTTGGATCATTTTTGTGAATCTTGAATCCAGAGCCAACAATTTCTGGTCTTTTTGATGGTTTTGTTATTTCTTTAAACTGTCTCTTTCTTTTTTTTTTAAATTTAAACTTACAATTACTTTGAGCCCCTTATGTCTGCGCTGCTGGTCAGGCTGTGTTTTTGTTAGTTTTTGTAGTTCTCTCCAGCTCCTGGTGAAATGTCCAAAAACAAATTGGATGAAAAGAATTTCCATCCACAGGTTCACAGATTAACAACTTGGGGACATGCTAGTGTGACATTAGAACATCTATGCTCATTTTCAAGACACTTGTGTCTGCCGTCCATGTTATTTAGCCTTTTATTTTGTTTCCTTCCTTAAATTTATTTTCAGCCCATGATGTGTGTGTTCTTCAACATGAGTTTCACTGAGGCCCTACTGGGTGCTGGATACTTTTCTAGGACAAGCACAAGACAGACGAGGTCCCTGCCCTGTGGGTAACTGGTACGGCCAATAACAGGTTAGAGGGTAGAAAGTGCTCTGGAAAAAAAAGGAAAACGGTAGCGGGGTAGTGCAGAGGGCGGGAAGAAGCCAAAGCTTCATCACAGAGAAAACCCGGACTTCCACAGAGTTGGAGAGGTGGGCGACGGCCACTTCTTTTGGTCAACTTCCTGAGAAAAGTAATAAAATGACATTTCACATCTTCACCTGTGAGCAAAGAGGATGAAGAAGGCTGGGCGAGGCCACTCTTCTCAGGCACAATCACTCCTGCTAGACACTGGGTCTCCCCGCGGGGTGGCCCCCTAAATAAAGGGATTAGGCCCTGGAGTCACGCTGACCTGGGTCCAGATCCAGGCTTGAGGCCTTTGGGGGGACTATCGTGGGCGAGCCACTTCACTTCTCTGCCTCGTTTTCCTCCAAGGGGAAAAGCAAGGATGAGTCTTATTCAGGGGTGGGCTCCTGGAGCAGGCTCCCCCTGCCCTCCCAGGTAGCCAGCCTCCCTCTGGTTTTCATTTAAAACTAGGCTGGACCTGCTTCTTACCAAGTGGGGCAGGGGGAGCGTGGATGATGACAGTCACAGCTGCTGTTTAGTAAGCTCCTGCTGTGTGCACGTGGGCCCTCTGCCCACATTGCTGTCCTCAGGCCTCACACCAGCCTGGGAGGTATGAGGTCTTAGTGTCCCATTTTACAGATGGGAAAATAGGTGGGTCCAGAAAGGACAAGCTACCCAGGTCAGTAAGTGGTGGGGCTTGGACCTGAGCTTGTCTGTTAGCTTTAAACTCCTAACTCGTGTAGCTGGCTGGGGTCATTGGGGAAGTCCCCAGCCTCATCCATAGCCCCTGGCCCATTGCCAGCCCTCTCACCAGCCCTATCAGGGTCAGCCTTGTTCCAGCTTGGCCCCTTTCATGCGTGTGGCCCAGGTCAATTGCCCCACCCCTCTGGGCCTGTCTCCCTGTACGCTGAGTGGAGGCTGCATCCCTGCTGGGGCTACAGTGGCGAGTAGGGGGTCTGACAAGGCAGGGGAGGCAGGGATGGCGTGGACCATCAGGGCTCTCACCCCCCCCAAACCTCAGTTGCAGGCTCCTCTGGCTTCGTGGAGCCTGGCTGGTCCGGCCACACCATGCGGCGGATGGCGCTTCGGCCCATGGCTTTCTCAGGTGGGTCCTGGCGCAGCTTCTGGCATTCCCTGGGCTGGAGGGGGGACAGTGTGGTAACTGTCCTAAAAGCCAGCTGGGTCCAGCAGTGGAGAGTCAAGGACAGCACTCCGCCTTTGAACTCTCTAGGCTGGAAAGAGCTTCGAAGGGCAGAGGAAGGGCCCCACAAGGGAGTCTGACCTAGGCCCAGGCACCCCAAGACCCATGACCCATGGACTCTCGCAGACACAGGTCCAAGTCCCCAGTTTTCTCTTTTTTATTTAAACTACACTTTTCTGAGCGTCTGCCATGTGGGAGGCCCTGTGCCAGGTGCTTTCCGTCATTAGCTTGTTTAAACCTCACAACTGTCCACACTCCCCCAAGACCTCATTCCCATTTTAAAGAGGAGGAAAATGCGAGTCAGAGAGAACTGCCCTGCCCTGCCTGAGGCCCCGCAGCCAGGAGGGGGTGGCGCTGGGACTGGACCTCAGGTGTGCTTGTGAGTTCCACCCTTGCTCTGAGCCCATTGTCCTCAGGTGTGAACAGGGTGACACTCCTCTCATGCACAAGGCTGTGCTGAGGCCTAAAGAGACCTGCTTGTAAAGCTGCCAGCAGCTGGAGGCTCTGTAATGGCTGGAGTTGTTAGGAATAACTTAGGTGTTTCCCCAAAGAAGCTGGAGGAGCTGGACGGTGGTTCTAGGGGAAGGTCAGATAGTGGCACCTCTGAGGCCAGCCCAATCCAGACTGTAGTATGGTGGTCCCCAAAGCTGGCAGGCAAGCCCTGGCCCCGCCCTGCCCAGGCGGGAAGCAATGAGATTTCCTGCTCTGGCTTCTGGGAAAGGGGACATTTTGGGTACAGAGGCTGCCAGGAGTCAGATCCGCAGTTCCTGCTGTGGGAGAAATGGGTCCGCTCTGGAAGCTCCAGAGTCAAAGGAAATCCACAGGGTGTGGTCCACCCTGCTGTGACTCTGTAGCCCCTTCCCCCACTGGACTTCTCATGGGGTCATCAGGTGTCTGTCCCCACCCCCCAGGGGCTGAAGGGCTCTGAGGGGGAACCTGGGACCTCTGGCCCAAGCCCTTTCTCTCCCCACAGGTTGTCTCAACTGCAGCAAAGTGTCAGAGTTGACAGAACGTCTGAAGGTGCTGGAGGCCAAGGTGGGTGAGCAGCTCCCCCCATGCCCCCTGGCCTCCCCTGCCCTTCCCTGCACCCCGTGCCCTGCACAGCTCTGAGCTGCACCTCTCACCGCCCTCCAGGGCTCCCCACTGACAGGCAGCTTCCCAGCAGGCACGCCCCAGCCTCCTCCAGGACCCATGTGGCTCTTCTGTTCTCCTGCAGCGCCCCTCCCTGGGAAGCCTGCTCTTCTCCAGGAGGCCCCTGCTGCCTCCCATGCAACCCCATCCCAGCCAGATGTGCTAGGTACCCCCAGAGCTTGTGGCTGGATCCCTTCTGGGCCTTGTCACCGTCTTCCTTTATTTCCTCCCCCCTGCTATAATACTATCTTCCAGTTTCAAAAGCAAAACGTCTATTGCACATCTCAAATTATTTCAAGATAAAAAGTTTTTAAAAAGGCTGGCCCATGGCTCACTCGGTAGAGTGCGGTGCTGATAACACCAAGGCCACGGGTTCGGATCCTATATAGGGATGGCCGATTTGCTCACTGGCTGAGCGTGGTGTTGACAACACCAGGCCAAGGGTTGAGATCCCCTTACCGGTCATCCTTTAAAAAAAAAAAAAAAAAAAGTTTTTAAAAATTAAAAAGTAAGACAGTAAAGAAAGATTCTAAATTTAGACATATGAAAACTCAGAAATGTGCAAAACCTGCCAGAAAACCATTGGCATCAGTCACCTGCGGCCCCAAAGAGAGCAGCTGTCAGCATTATTCATCTTTTTTTCCACATTTTCTAAACATGAGTAGACGCGTACACACTTTGTCTATATCTGCTTTGCTCAATGATTCCCTTCCCTGGGAATTTATCTTAAGGAGAAGATTAGATGCAAAGATGTTTACCAAAGTGATAACTGTCAAATAGGGAAATTTGAAAACCAGACAACGCAAGGTGTGTTGTATAATTATGGAACATCTGCTCTGAGGACAGGCCCGCGCGGCCCCCTGCCCCCTGGTCAGTGGTCAGCTGGCCTCTCCTTGATCCTCAGTGGCTCAGAAGGCACCCCTGACCTTCCAGAGTCTTCCTCACCCTGGGCCCAAAAGTGGATTTTTTGTACACCCCCAGGCCTCTATTTCATGTTAGACCTTCCCGAGCTTCCTCCACCTTTAGTGAAAATCTTTCCAGCCTGCTTTGACAGACCAAGAGGAGCTTCATATTGTTTATGCAGATAAGCATAGAAAAACACTGTGTAACCCAGCAGACAGCACAACAGTCAGAGCTCTACTTGGGTGGGAGGGATGTAATGTCTTCTGCAACGAATGTCATGAACACACAGTCACTCCTGATAAAGTTCAGGGTCCCTGCCAGCCCCGCGCACAGCCCCCCTCACTGGGCTGTCCCTGGTGAGACCCTGGCACTCACCCTGTCCATCTTCTTCCTTCACAGGTGGCCATGCTGACAGTCACAGAGCAGGCAGTGCCCCCAACCCCAGCTACCCCTAAGGACCCTGCCCCGCTCTGGGGCTCCCCAGCTGCCCAGGGCAGCCCTGGAGATGGAAGCCTCCAGAGTGAGTGGGTCAGGTGGGGCATCACTCCCACATGGAAATGAGCACTGGATGAGAGTCAGGGGAGCAAGATTCCTGTCCCCGGGGCTGACTCCCAGCTCGACCCCCTGGCAGGCCTCAGTCTCCCCATCTCTCCAGTAGGCCTGAGGGGATGGTCTCCAGAGAGTCCTGGGCAGCCGAGCAGCCCCTACCAGGGGTGGAGCTGGGGGTGGGAACTCTAGATGACTCTTCCCTCCCCCAGGCCCGGCAGGGACACTGACCCCTGCCTACCCCCCCCACCCTCTAGGGCTACCAGGAGCCAGAGAAAGCATGAGGGCCCCACTGCTCCCTCGAAATGGTAAGTGCTGGCTGAAGGCCAGGGCAGGGGTCACGAGCAAGTCCAGAGTTGCTGACCTGAGGTACTTTACTCCACAGACCGAGTCGGTGCTCGAGGGCTGCCTGGGCCCCCTGGCCCCAAGGGAGATGTCGGCAGTCGGGGCCCAATGGGGATGAGAGGTCCACCAGGTGAGTGCCCACAACACTGCCCCCCAGCTCCCCTGGCCATCCCCCCACCAGGTGGACCAAGCCCAGGCCTTCCTTCCCTGCTCCTGACAGAGCCGGGGTGGCCTGAGCCCCTTTCACCCACTGGCCTCTCCGCTCACACCTGGGCTTCCTGAACCACTCTCTTGCATTCATTTGTCCCTGGTGCCTGCACTCCTACACTCAGCAGGCTCTGAGTTGGGCACTGGGATGGGGCCAGATCAGTCCTTGCCCTCCTGGAGCTCCCAGACCTGTAGGAATTGGGCTAGGCAGAGGAGAAACAGCAGTGCCCACCCCATGTGACCAGAATTCCTAGGGGGGTGTTGGGGGTATAGGAGTCCTAAGGAAGGAAGCCCAGACCCTGCTTGGATGGGACAAAGGACAGGGATGCTGTGTTCATCTCCCTAGAAGACAACCGGGGACGGGGGGACAGGCCTGTGGACTCAGGAGCCTATTCTCATGCCTGCTGCCCCAGGCTGCCTTGTCCTGGCCACTTGAAGCCACTCTGGGCCTCTCTGCCTCCAGTACACCCACCAACCCCCGGTATTCCATTGCAGGTCCACAGGGCCCCCCAGGGAGCCCTGGCCAGGCTGGAGCTGTGGGCACCCCTGGAGAGAGGGGACTTCCAGGCCCTCCTGGCCCTCCTGGTCCTCCTGGGCTCCCAGCCCCTGTTGGCCCACCCCATGCCTGGATCTCCCAGCATGGTGAGTCCCCCCGGGGTCCTAGCAGGTCAAAGTGGGGGTGGGTGAGGCTGGAGTGACCATCACACAGTGTCCACTACCAGCTACCATACACCTTCTGTGTGCTAGGCTGGACACGTAGGCCAGTTTCACCCAGTCCTCTAACGGGCGCTGTTGTCCTCTGTTCACAGATGAGGATCACTGAGGGCCACAGAGGGGAAGTCACACTTGCCAAGGTCACACAGCCGGGGTGTGGGGGAACTCTTTCCAGGCCAGGTGCCTCCAGAGCCTGTGCTCAGAACCCCCCTGCATCAGGCCCTCTCCAAGCCTTGGAGCTGGTCAGAAACCCACCCTCAGAGCACCGGGAAGCTCAAGGCCCCGCAGCAGGAAGCCAGCCCTCAGCTCCCAAGGCCGCAGCAGTGGCCCTTTGCTGGGAGAGGCCCCAGGTCCCTCCTCCAGGCTGGGCCCTGACATATGTCCTTGGCCTCCTCCCTTTGCGGCACAGCCTGTCCTACACGTATGCTTCCGGGGTCAGTGTGGAGGGCCAGGTTCACCCCATCTGCACCGTGGCCTTGGCACGTGACCCAGCACCATTCATTCATTCTCCCATTCCACTATTTGTTTTCTCACTATTCATTCCTCCTCTCCAAGCCTCAGTTTCCCCATTGTTACAATGGGGAGAGTGACAGTGCCAGCCTCCTAGAGCTCTGTGACACCCATGCGCAGAAGCCTGGCACACTGTAGGTGATCAGTAAATGGTGGCTTTCATTATTATTCCCACTTGACAGGCAATGGCACAGGCTCAGCAAAATGGAGTCTTGCTGGATGTCACCGGTTAGACTGTGGCAGGATCAGAACTAAGATCTCCCTGCCTCCTGGTCCTGTATGGCCCCACTCTCCCCACTTTCCACCTTGGGAGCAGGTGCCTGGTGGCCTCAGGCACACTGCAGGCTGCCCTGTAGAGCAGTCAAAGCTGTCTTGGGAGAGGTGGCTGTGAAGACTGACCCCACTCCACCCAGCTCTGTTCACTCACCACCTTTCCTCTCCCAGGGGACCCATTACTGTCCAACATCTTCACTGAGACAAGCCACTGGCCCCAGAGACCCACTGGCCTCCCAGGCCCCCCAGGGCCCATGGGTAAGTCGAGTCCAGGCCTGGAGTAAGGAATGGGCTTGGTAGATGGCAGAGGGACTACGGCTGTGACTATCAAGAGAGCTGAGGGCGGACTTCCTGGCATGGTATTCTGTTTCTGGCACTGAGGACATCCTGTCTTATTCCAGGTCCCCCTGGACCTCCTGGCCCCACAGGTGTCCCTGGGAGTCCTGGAAACATGGTGAGTAGTTCTCCAAATGCTTTTACCATGTGCCCACTCATCCATCCCTCCATCCCTCCAGCCATCCAGCCATTCAACCATCCATCCATCCTTTCACTCATTCAATCAACATGTATTTATTGAGCATTTAATGTGCAAACTACTTTCCATAAACCTTATTCAATCCATGTAATGAGAAGCAAGTATTGTTATCACCTAAGGTCAAGAAAAGTGTAGATTCTTGCCCTAAGGCTGTGGCCAGCACGTGGCAATGTCCATAGGTTGGGGTGGGGAGCGTCTGACTCTGATTAGATCTCTTAACACTGAACTGTATGAACTGCCTGCTGTGTGCCAGGCTTTGTGTGTACGGTAAAGAGCCCAGGGGCCCAGGCAAAGCTGGGGCTGCCTCCCCAACCACTCTACACCCAAGCCCCTGCCCACTCCATCCTGCCCCAACAAGGCTGAGGCCCTGTCTTGTCTCAGGGACCTCCAGGCCCCACTGGACCCAAAGGAATCTCTGGCCACCCAGGAGAGAAGGGCGAGAGAGTGAGTACCCAGGTGGCCCCAGGTGGGGGATTCTGGGGAGTTCTGGGGGTCTCAGGTCAGAGCCCCCTGCGGGGCAGCTGATGCCATTCTTCTCCTTCTGACACAGGGACTGCGTGGGGAGCCTGGCCCCCAAGGCTCTGCGGGGCAGCGGGTAAGTGATGCTGTCTGTCTTGCAGCCACCCCTGCAGGATCCCACAGGCCCAGACTCCTGTTCTGGCCCTACATCCCCTGCAACCAGAGCCCCTGACCCTCCCATCAGTCATTTGATGTCTCTAGTACCCATCATTCTTGTAGAATCAGGCTGCCTCTGTCTCCCTCACTCTGGCTCTTTGTGTCTCTGTATCTGTTTCTCTTTTTCTCTCTTTCTCTCCATGTGTCTGTCTCTTTGACTCTCTGTAATTAGGTCTCTTTCATTCCCCATCTCTCCAACTCGGATTGTAGATTTCTACATACCGCCCTTTAATTTGGTCAATTTTTGCTTTATGTATTTTGAATCTTTGTTATTAGGTGCATATACATTTAGGATTTTAGTGTCTCTTTGGTCCCTTTATCTTTATGAAATTAATATCTTTATCTCTGGTAATACTCCTTGTTTTTTTTTTTTTTTGGTTTTTTTTTTGGTGGCTGGCCAGTACAGGGATCTGAACCCTTGACCTCGGTGTTATTAACACCTCACTCTCCAAAGTGAGCCACCAGCCAGCCCAGTATTCCTTGTCTTGAATTCTACTTTGTTTGCTATTAAAGTAGCCACACCAGCTTTCTTGTGCTTGGTGTTTGCGTAGTATATCTTTTTTGATCCTTTCTCTTTCAACCTGCATCTTTATATTTAAAGCTCATCTCTTGTAAACAACATATAACCTAGCTGTTGCTTTTTAAAAATAGTCTGACTATTCAGTTCATTTCAATTTAATAATATGTATTATTATTATTATTGATATGGTTTCATTTAAGTCAACCTTCTTGCTATTTGTGTTTTATTTACACCATCTGTTCAATGTTTCTTTTTTCCCATTCTTTTCTTGCCTTCTTTTGGATTGAGTACTTTTTATGATTCCATTTTATCTCCACTAATAACTTTTTAGCTATGCCTTTTTGTGTGTTTTTTCTCATGACAACAATATACATTCTTGACTTATTGCAATTTACTTTAATTAATAATATACCATCTCATGTATAAGTAGGAACATTACACATGTATAATTCTATTTTCACTCCCTTCCTTTCTTGTGCTATTGCTATTCTATATGGTATTTCTACATTTGTTGTAAACCCACAGTACATTATTGTTATTGCTTCAGTCGGCTGACTTTTAAAGAAGAGCACAAAGAAAAAATAGTTTTTTAAATATTACTGGCGTATTCATCATTATTTTTTTTTCCTTTTTGTCTTTTTTTTTACTGACCGGTAACGGGATCGCAACCCTCAGTGTCGCGCCCGCACCACACTCAGCCAGTGAGCGGGAACCGGTCTCCACATGGGATCCAAATCCTCGGCAGGAGCGCCGCCGCACTCCCAAGCGGTGCACTCTCCAGTGCACCACTGGGCCGGCCCGTATTCATCATTATTAATACTCTGTACCTTCCTGTAGATCCAGATTTCTATCTGGTATTTTTTCCCTTCAACCTAAAGAACTTCCTTTAGCCTCTCTTGTAGTGTGGGTCTCCTGGCAGCAGTATATCTAAAACCGTCTTTATTTTACCTTTAATTTTAAAAGATATTTTTGCTGGATATAAAATTATAGGCTGGCAGTTTTCTCCCCTGTTAACACTTTAAAGATGTTGTACTGTGGCCTTGTGGCTTACATAGTTTCTTATAAGAAATTGGCTGTCACTGTTCTCCCTCTGTATAATATGGTTTTTCCCTCTGGCTTTTAAGATTTTTCTCTTTATCCTTAGTTTTCAGCAGATTGATTTTGATGTATGTGCATGTGAATTTCTTTGTGTTTGTTCTGCTTTGGGTTCACTGAGATTCCTAGCTCTATACGGTTTGCTGGAGTTTTTGTTTTTCATGGTTATTTTGTTTTGTTTTGTTTAATTAGTAAACTTAAAAAAAAAAAAAAAGAACAGTTTTAGATTCACAGAAAAATTGTGTGGAAACTACAGAAAATTCCCTGTCTCCACACATGCACAACCTCTCCCACTATTGACGTCCTGCACCAGAGGAATACATTTGTTGTAATCGATGGACCTATATTGACACCTCATTATCACCCAAAGTCCATATTTTACATTAGGGTTCACTCTTGGTGTTGTACATTCTATAGGTTTTGACAAACATATAATGACAAATGAGGTAGCCACCATCGTACTATCATATAGAATAGTTTCACTGACTTAAAAATCCTGTGTTCTGCCTATTCATCCCTCCCTCCTACCTAACCCCTGCCAACCACTTGATCTTTTTTTTTTTTTTAAAGATGACCGGTAAGGGGATCTTAGCCTTTGACCTGGTGTTGTCAGCACCATGCTCACTCAGTGAGCTAACCGGCCATCCCTATATGGGATCCGAACCCGTGGCCTTGGTGTTATCAGCACCACACTCTCCCGAGTGAGCCACAGGCCAGCCCCACTTGATCTTTTTACTGTCTCCAAAGTTTTACCTTTTCCAAAATGTCATATATTTGGAATCATACAGCATACAGCCTTTTCAGATGGGCTTCTTTCACTTAGTAATATGCATTTAAGCTTCTCCATGTCATTTCTTTTTAGCACTAAATAATATTCCATTGTCTACATGTAACACAGTTTATGTATCTATTCACCTACTGAATGACATCTTGGCTGCTTCCAAGTTTTGGCAGTTATGAATAAAGCTGCTATAAACATTCATAGGCAGGTTTTCATGTGGACATAAGCTTTCAGTTCATGAGGGTAAATACCAGTGAGTGTGATTGCTGAATCATATAGTAAGAGTATGTTTAGTTTTGTAAGAAACAAACTGTCTTCCAATGTGGCTGCACCGTTTTGCATTCCCTCCAGCAATGAATGACAGTTACTGCTGGTCCACATCCTTGTTAGCACTTGATGTTGTCACTGTGTATGTCACTTGTTAGCACTTGATGTATGTCACTGTACCATATTCTGACCATTCTAATTGGGGTGTAGTGATTTCTCACTGTTTTGAGGGGGGTTTGTTTTTCATCTCCCTGTTGTTTTAATTTGCAGTTCCCTAATGACATGTGATGTAGAACGTCTTTTTATTTGCTTACTAGCCATCTGTATATATTCTTTGGTGAGGTGTCTGTTCAGGTCTTTTGACAGTTTTTTTTTTTTTCCTTTTTTTTCCTTTTTGGTGTCCGGCAACGGATCACAACCCTCAGTGTCGCGCCCGTACCGGACCGGGACCGGCAACAGAATCTCAACTCTCGGTGTTGCACCCGCACCTCGCTCAGCCAGTGAGCGGGAACTGGTCTGTATGTGGGATCCGAACCCTCGGCGGGAGTGCCGCTGCGCTTCCCAAGCGGCGCACTGTAGCAGTGCGCCACCGGGCCGGCCCCTCTTTTGACAGTTTTTAATTGGGTTGCTTGTTTTCTTATTGTTGAGTTTTAAGAGTTCTTTGTATATTTTGGATAACAGTCCTTTATCAGATGTGTCCTTTGCAAATATTTTCTCTCAGTCTGTGGCTTGTCTTCTCATTCTCTTCACATTGTCCTGTGCAGAGCAGAAGTTTATAATTTTAATGAAGCCCCGCTATCAATTATTTCTTTTAAGGATGATGCCTTTGGCATTGTATCTAAAAAGTAATTGCCAAGCTGAAGGTCACCTAGATTTTCTCCTGTGTTATCTTCCAGGAGTTTTATAGTTTTTTGTTTATAGTTAGGTCTGTGATCCAGTTTGAATTAATTTTTGTGAAGACGTAAAGTCTGTGCCCCCATTCATCTTTTTTGTATTTGGATGTCCAGTTGTTCCAGCACCAATTGTGGGAAAGACTATCTTTGCTCCATTATATTGCCTTTTCTTTTTTGTCAAAATTCAGTTGACTGTGTGTGTGTGTGTGTGTCTATTTCAGGGCTCTCTATTCTGTTACATTGATCTATTTTTCTAATCTTTCACCCATACCATGCTGTCTTGATTACTGTAGTTTTTTGTTTGTTTGTTTGTTTTAATTTTTATTGAATCACAATTGAGTATACATATTTGGGGGGTTCAATGTTGAGATATGTTGATCAAATCAATATTACTAGCATATATATTGTTACAAGTTGTACTTATTCTTTATGTTTCTTGTCCAATCTCTCCCCATCCCCCTCTTCCTCCCCCCTCCCCCCCAATTACGCTAGATTTCTTCTCTCCTGAAATAGTAATGGTTACTCTGTTGATTTGTTGACCAGATGGTCTGTCCGATGCTGAGAGGTGAGTTCAAGTCCCCCAATATTATCGTAGAACAGATGCTTCTTCTGTCACTCTGGAATGGCCTTTGTGGAGAGAGACATCCTCTTCTTTTCTTTGGTCTCTGCTGGTGACTCTCATTGTGTCAATGCACTCCAGTGGCTGGCAGACCACCTGCATGGTGGTTGTGGCATCTAGCCACTTTTGTGACAGCCATGGTTATTGTGGTGGCTAGGGTGGGCCACCTACATGGAGGTGATGTTTTTCGCATGCTTCTTGGTGCTGGCAGTGTGCCTGGTTGTGGGAGGGGCGTCCGGTCCCCAGCTCCATGCCTCACTGATACCATGCTGTCTTGATTACTGTAGGTTTTTGTGTGTGTTTGTTTTTCGAGTGGCTGGCCAGTACAGGGATGATTACTGTAGCTTTATAATAAGTCTTGAAGTCAGGCAGTGTTAGTCCTCCAATTTTGTTTTTCTCTTTCAATATTGAGTTGGCTATTCTGGGTCTTTTGCCTCTCTATATAAACTTTAGAATTGGTTTATTGATATTACAAAATAACTTACTAGGATTTTGATTGGGATTGCTTTGAATCTATAAATCAAGTTGGGAAGAAGTGACATCTTAACAAAATCAAGTCTTATCTGACCATGTACATGGAATGTCTCTCCATTTATTTAGCTCTTATTTGGTGTTTTTCATTAGAGTTTTGTAGTTTTCTTCATATAGATCTTACAGATATTTTGTTAGAGTTATACCTATTTCATTTTTAAGGGTGGTAATGTAAATTGTAATGTGTTTTTAATTTAAAGTTCCATTTGCTCAT